TTCCATCTGAACATGAGGAAGAACTTCCTGACTGTGAAGAGCCGTTCAGCAGTGGAACTCTCTGCCCCAGAGTGTGGTGGAGGCTCCTTCTTTGGAAGCTTTAAGCAGAGGCTGGATGGCCATCTGTCGGGGGTGCTTTGAATGTGATTTTCCTGCTTCTTGGCATAATGGGGTTAGACAAGATAGCCCATGAGGTCTCTTCCAACTCTATGATTCTATGATTCTTTCTCCTGGGATAGCGTAACACTAAGCCATGGAAATCGAAGTGATGTCAAACTGTGCTGATTCCACAGTGCAGATGCACACCCACGTCTCCTCCTTTGGCTCAGTCCCATTGTGTTGCCAAAGGATCTGGAAGGAGAGGGTTGGGAGCAGGAGAGGAGGAAATGGCCTCATGCAAGCAGGTGCTTCCTTCTGCCACCCACACACTTCCCTCCATACACACACACGCAAATACACACACACACATACTGCTGCCCACGGGAGGTGACAATGCAAGGAAGTGCGGGACAGAACAATGGTCAACGGAGAGCGGATTGTCACCAATTGGGGTGTTTCAGAGCAGGAAGAAGTATGTGTCTGAGTAGCTTTAGCAAAAAGAATGGTGCTGGGTGACCACACTGGAGTAGTGCGCAGGGCACTATGATAGCTAGTGAATAATGCTCAATTGGGGGCAGGGTCGGCCCTAGGTAATTGTCAAGAGTAAGCAAACAGTATTTTGCACCCCCCACCCAAACCAATCACTGAAAAATAGAAAGTAGAGGTGAATAAAAGAGTTGCCTCCTCCTGAGAAAAATGTATAATATCACCCGCCTCAGGAATCCTGCTACAAAACAGGAGCTTTTTTGTTGAGTTCCAGGGCCAGAGGAGCAGATGGCGGAAACAGAAGAACAGCCTGCCTCAGGGGAGCGTGCTTGCTCCATCCATGTTCAACATCTACACAAATGACCAGCCACTGCCAGAAGGGACAGAGAGTTTCATCTATGCTGATGATCGTGCCATCACTGCTCAAGCAGGGAGCTTTGAGATGGTAGAACAGAAGCTTTCCGAAGCTCTAGGTGCTCTTACTGCCTATTACAGGGAAAACCAGCTGATCCCCAACTCATCCAAAACACAGACATGTGCCTTTCATCTCAAGAACAGAGAAGCATCCCGAGCTCTGAAGATCACCTGGGAAGGAATCCCACTGGAGCATTGCAGCACACCCAAATACCTGGGAGTCACTCTGGACCGTGCTCTGACCTACAAGAAGCACTGCCTGAACATCAAGCAAAAAGTGGGTGCTAGAAACAATATCATACGAAAGCTGACTGGCACAACCTGGGGATCACAACCAGACACAGTGAAGACATCTGCCGTTGCGCTGTGCTACTCTGCTGCTGAGTATGCATGCCCAGTGTGGAACACATCTCACCACACTAAAACAGTGGATGTGGCTCTTAATGAGACATGCCGCATTATCACGGGGTGTCTGCGACCCACACCACTGGAGAAATTACACTGCTTAGCCGGTATTGCACCACCTGACATCGCCGGGAAGTAGCAGCCAATAGTGAAAGGACCAAGGCAGAGACATCTCCAGCTCCTCCCCTGTTTGGGTATCAGCCAGCACGTCAACGACTTAAATCTAGAAATAGTTTTCTAAGATCTACAGAGACACTCGCTGGAACACCTCAGCAAGCGAGAGTCCAAAAGTGGCAGGCTCAAACCCAGAACCTCAACCAATGGCTGATACCAAATGAGAGACTCCCCCCTGGGCACACAGAAACTGGGCAACTTGGAAGGCGCTGAACAGACTGCGCTCTGGCACCACAAGATGCAGAGCCAACCTCAAGAAATGGGGCTACAAAGTGGAATCCACGACATGCGAGTGCGGAGAGGAGCAAACCACTGACCACCTGCTGCAATGCACCCTGAGCCCTGCCACATGCACAAGGGAGGACCTTCTTGCGGCAACACCAGAGGCACTCCAAGTGGCCAGATACTGGTCAAAGGACATTTAATCAACTACCAAACTCACAAATTTTGTATTTTGTCTGTTTGTTTGCTTTGTTCTGTTAGAAATGTAATATAATTGACTGGTTGCCTGACACAACAAATAAAATAAATAGCAGGAGCCAGGCCATCTAAGCTGCGCCGCGCAGCCTAGCCTCCCAGGTAGTCTCCCACCTGGCTCCTGCCTCCTGCAGCCTGGCAGCAGTGGAAGCCAGGTGATCGAGGCTGTGCCGCATGCAAGAGCACCTCAAGAGCACCCCTTGGGGATTTACGCTATACGCAGATGCGTATCTTGCCTATTGCTTCAGCCGCCCCTGATTGGGGGTGATGGAGCAGAGGATACAGATGGGGAAGTGCAGCATAGAACAGGTACAGGAATATCTAGCCAATGTATATGAATTCAAGAGATAATGGATATGGTAGGGGATGCAGCACAGAATAGGAACAGAGGGAGCACAGGAACATCTGACTAATCTATATGAATTTAAGAGATAACAGAGCAGAGGATGCAGGAAGGGAAATGCAGCACAAAATAGGTAAATAGGCAACATAGGAATCTCTGGCTAATCTATATGATTTGAAGAACAATTACCGTCCGGTCAGCCTCACATTGATACCAGACCAGATTCTGGAAAAGATTGTCAAGGAAGTGGTCTGCAAACACTTAGAAAGGAATGCAGTCATAACTAACAGTCAAGACAGATTGATCAAAAGCAAGTCACACCAAATTCATCTGATCTCTTTTTTTGATAGAGTTACAAGCTGGATAGATGTGGGGAATGCTGCGGATGGAGCATATCTGGATTTCAGGAGGGCCCTCCTTCCTTCGAGGTCCCCCATGACCTTCTGGCAAGGAAACTAGTCCAATGTGGGCTAGGCAAAACTACGTGAGGTGGATCTGTAATTGGTTGAGGAATGAACCCAGAGGATGCTTCTCCCCAATGCTTTGTCTTCATCCTGGAAAGAAGTGAGGAACGGAGTGCCATCAGCAGGATTCTATCCTGGGCCCGGTCCTGTTCGGGATCTTGATTAATGACTTAGATGAAGGGTTAGAAGACAGGATCATCAAGTTGGCAGATGAGGACCAAATTGGGAGGGAGAGCCAATACTCAGAAGACAGGAGCAGAATTCAAACATCTTCACAGATTAGAGAGATGAGTGGCCAAGGCTAACACAAGGAAGTTCAACAGGGACAAATGCAAGAGACTCCACTGAGGAAGAAAAAAGAAAATGCAAGGAGACAGAATGGGGGACAATACCTGGCTACATAGCAGGACGTGGGAAAAAGAGCAATGGCTTCAAACTACAGGACGGGATTCCACCTGAATATTAGGAAGAACTTTCTAGCTGTGAGAGTTGTTCAGCAGTGGAACTCTGCTCTGGGGTGTGGTGCAGGCTCCTTCTATGGAGGCTTTTAAACAGAGGCTGGATGGCCATCTGTTGAGGGTGCTTTGAATGCAATTTTCCTTCTTCTTGGCAGGGGTTGGACTGGATGGCCCATGAGGTCTCTTCCAACTCTAGGATTCTGTGATCTTGGGTGTCCTCATGGGGAGGAAGGTAAACACAAGCCAACAATGTCATGCAGCAACTAAAAAAGTCAATGGGATTTTGGCCCGTAGGGAAGTCATGCTTCCCATGATCTATTCTGTCTTGGTCAGACCACACCTGGAATCACATTGTGTCCAATTCTGGGCACCACAATTGAAGGGAGATGTTGACTTAAGCTGGAATGTGTCCAGAGGAGGGTGACTCAAATGATCAAGGGTCTGGAGAACAAGCCCTATGAGGAGCGGCTTAAAGAGCTGGGCATGTTTAGCCTGGAGAAGAGAAGACTGAGAGGAGACATGATAGCCATGTATAAATATGTGAGAGGAAGTCATAGGGAGGAGGGAGCAAGCTTGTTTTCTGCTTCCCTGGAGACTACGACTTAGGCAATCCCTTGTTGGCTGAGTAGGATAGTCTTCCAGGATTAGTGTTCTGGTGGGTCCTTAGATGTCTGTGGAGCCCTATTCTTGACCTGCATCTTCTCCCGCAGTGAAGGCATCGGTTTCAAGATGGAAGGCAGTCTCGGTCGGGGTTGGCCTGGTGTGCCTTCCTCCTGGCACGTTTCTCTTTTTCACCCTCCATTCGTGCCTCTTCAAATTCTGCAGCACTGCTGGTCACAGCTGACCTCCAGCTGGAGCACTCAAGGGCCAGGGCTTCCCAGTTCTCAGTGTCTATGCCAGAGTTTTTAATGTTGGCTAGGACAGGAAACAATGGCTTCAAACTACAGGAAAGGAGATTCCACCTGAACATGAGGAAGAACTTCCTGACTGTGAGAGCTGTTCAGCAGTGGAACTCTCTGCTCTGGGGTGTGGTGGAGGCTCCTTCTTTGGAAGCTTTTAAGCAGAGGCTGGGTGGTCATCTGTTGGGGGGTGCTTTGAAGGTGATTTTCTTGCTTCTTGGCAGAATGGGGTTGGACAGGATGGCCACAAGGTCTCTTCCAACTCTGTGATTCAAGAGATGGGGATGCAACACAGAATAGGTAAACAGGCAACACAGGAATGTCTGGCTACTCCAAATAAATTCAAGAGATAACAGAGCAGAGGTTGCATTACAGGAAAGGCCAAACAGAATAGGTAAAGAATATTCACCTAATCTAAATGAATTCAAGTCTCTGGGGTTAGGTGAACCACATCCAAGGGCATCAAAAGTAGTGGCAGAAGCAATTTCAGTATCAATGGCAAGGCAGAAAGGGGTTGGACTGGATGGCCTTTGGGGTCCCCTCTTAACACTATTGATGTTTCAACTGGCAAGGTTGCCGAGCTGGAAACATTCGGGTCTTTCTCTTCCTGAAAGCTCTATAATTAAATCCACGGCTCGGCTGCCCCCTCCGTCCTTCCCTTGACGCCTGAGCTCAAAGGAAGATAGGAAGGATGTGAATTACACCATTTCCTTTACGGTTTGGACCCGACCTTATAAAAGACCCTCCCTGGCCGGCCTGGCTTTTGAGGCTGGTTCTCAGGAGCATTGGGGCTTCTCAAGGGACAAGGGGGGTTCCAGCTGGGTTTGGGACCCCCTCACCCGCAAGGGGCCCCACACCTGCTGGCAGGGGACGGATGCCCGAGGGGCCCCGCAGTGGTTCAGCAGACAGGTGCCATGGCTGGCCCAGGTGACCAAAGCTACGTTCGGGAATTCACCCGCCACTCCAGTGATGTCCTGATGAACCTGAACGAACTGCGCAAGCGATGCATCCTGACGGATGTCACCTTAAGAGTCGGAGGGTGCCCACTGCATGCCCACAAAGCCGTCCTGACCGCCTGCAGGTAAGAGAGCGGGACATCGTGCTAACCCTGCCAGGTTGATTGGCATGCCAGCTGTTCTGGATGGGCATGCAAACCTTCTCAGTGGTGGTCTTCATGGGGCAAGTGAGCCCATATGGCTGGTGGCTAGGGTAAAGCATCAGAGCAGTGGCCTTACTTGCAGCAAGAGACAAAGCAAGTCCAAAATACTTGTGCATTTCATCTTGGAGCTTTCCTTGCTGTGAATTTAGCCTTAGGAGAGGATTGAATGTGTGTGTGCATGCAAGGCAGAAGGAGGTTGGACTCGATGGCCCCTTGGGTTACTTCTTCTTCTTCTTAGAATCAAAGAGTTGGAAGAGACCTCCTGGGCCATCCAGTCCAACCCCATTCTGCCAAGAAGCACGCTTGAGTGCTCTAGAATCATAGAATAAAAGAGTTGGAAGAGACCTCATGGGCCATCCAGTCCAACCCCCTGCCAAGAAACAGGAATATTGCATTCAATCACCCCTGACAGATGGCCATCCAGCCTCTGTTTAAAAGCTTCCAAAGAAGGAGCCTCCACCACACTCCGGGGCAGAGAGTTCCACTGCTGAACGGCTCTCACAGTCAGGAAGTTCTTTCTCATGTTCAGATGGAATCTCCTCTCTTGTAGTTTGAAGCCATTGTTCCGCGTCCTGGTCTCCAAGGAAGCAGAAAACAAGCTTGCTCCCTCCTCCCTGTGGCTTCCTCTCACATATTTATACATGGCTATCATATCTCCTCTCAGCCTTCTCTTCTTCAGGCTAAACATGCCCAGCTCCTTAAGCCGCTCCTCATAGGGCTTGTTCTCCAGACCCTTGATCATTTTAGTCGCCCTCCTCTGGACACATTCCATCTTGTCAATATCTCTCTTGAATTGTGGTGCCCAGAATTGGACACAATATTCCAGGTGTGGTCTAACCAAAGCGGAATAGAGCATGGGGAGCATGACTTTCCTAGATCTAGACACTAGGCTCCTCGTCGGACACTTCCCAAGTGTCTAGAACTGTATGATGTATTGGCAAATAATGCGTGCAGATGGTAATCTTGTCAGCGCCGATTGTGTTTAAGTGCAGGCCAAGGTCTTTAGCACTGCACCCAGTGTGCCAATCACCACTGGGACCACCTTGACTGGCTTGTGCCAGAGTCTTTGCAGTTCGATCTTTAAATCCTCGTATCGTGTCAGCTTTTCCAGTTGTTTCTCTTCAATCCTGCTGTCACCTGGGATTGCAACATCGACAATCCATACTTTGTTTTTTTAACACAGTTGTGAGGTTAGGAGTACTGTACTCCAAAACTCTGTCAGTCTGAATTCGGAAGTCCCAGAGTAATTTGACGAGTTCATTTTTTTTATTGTTATTATTTGAAACACAACAAGATGAGTCCACAGCAGACAAGATCACTCTTGGATCACACGTCAGATACTTCCCAAGTGTCTCAGAATGTGTGATGTATCGGCGAATAATGTGTGCAGATCCCAGTAAGGTGGCCTTTTGCAGCTGGCAGATGGTAATCTTTGTCAGCGCCAATTGTGTTTAAGTGCAGGCCAAGGTCTTTAGGCACTGCACCCAGTGTGCCGATCACCACTGGGACCACCTTGACTGGCTTGTGCCAGAGTTGTTGTTGTTGTTGTTGTTGTTGTTATTATTTCAAAGGCTGGATGGCCATCTGTTGGGATTGCTTTGACTGTGCTTTTCCTGCAAGGCAGAAGCAGGTTGGACTGGGTTGCCCCTGGGTTGCTCCTATTATTATTATTATTATTATTATTATTATTATTATTATTATTGCAAAGACTGGGTGGTCATCTGTTCAGGGTGCTCTGATTTGAGCTTTTACTTCATGGCAGAAGCAGGTTGAACTGGGTGGCCCCGGGTTGCTTTTACTATTATTATTATTATTATTATTATTATTAGTAGTAGTAGTAGTAGTAGTAGTATTAGTATTAGTAATAGTAGCAGCAGTCATGGTGGTGGTGGTAGCATATTATTGCAAAAGCTTGGTGGCCATCTATTGTGGGTGCTTTGATTTGTGCTTTTACTGCATGGCTGAAACTAGTTGCACTGGGTGGCCCCTAGGTTACACCTATTATTATTATTATTATTATTATTATTATTATTATTATTATTATTGCTAAAGGCTGGATGATCCCTGGGATATTCCACTGAAATACTGTCAAATTTTAAAATGCGATGTGGCCTCTGTGTCCAAAAGTTTCTAGGGACCCCTCAAGGACTTCAGAAGAGATTCCATGGCTTTAAATGTTTGAGAACATCCTGGGAATTGTGGTTCCCTTCCCATTATGGTCCTCCCTAGGCCTTATACACCCCGTAGTTGCCCCAGTTGCGCATTAATCCTTTGCCGTTCTACTTTTCCCATCTGCTGTAAAAATGTCCCAGATTCTCTTTCTGCCTTCCTCCTTGGTCCTCAGCTTGCTTCAATTACTGCAAAGGAAATCTTTGCACTCTGCAGGACAAGAAAACAGTTGTCTCAGTCCAAAACAGACTGCAGCAACCTCCCCTAATGTATTGGCTCTTCCATATTAATACCTTTTCGTTGTCACTGTGACGTGACTCCCATGTCCCAGTTTGTACCTGCAAAATGTGAACAGGCCTTGGCTTGTTGATCTCTCGCCTTGACCAATGCTTCTGTCCTTCCTTCCCCAACAGCGGCTTCTTTTACTCCATCTTCCTGGGCCAAGGGGGCCACCAAGTGAGTGTCTTGACCCTCCCCAGCTCCATTGAACCGGCCGGATTCCAGGCCATCCTGGACTTCATGTACACATCTCGCCTGCTGCTCACCCCGGGCACCGTGCCGGCCGTCCTGGCTGCCGCATCCTACTTGCAGATGGAACATGTGGCCGAAAGCTGCCATCGCTTCATCCAAGCCAGGTATGGGCATCAGAGTTGGGGCGGGAGGAGCAATGTTTAGGATCGGTGGGTCCATAGGTGACGGTGGAGCCCTATTCTTGATCTGTATCTTCTCCTGCAGTGAGGACAGGGAATGCAGTCCCGGTTGGGGTTGCTTCACATACCTTACTCTTGGCATGTTTCCCTCTTTCGCCCTCCATTCTTGCCTCTTCAAATTCTACAGCACTGCTGGTCACAGCTGACCTCCAGCTGGAGCGCTCAAGGGCCAGGGCTTCCCAGTTCTCAATGTCTATGCCAGAGTTTTTAAGGTTGGCTTTGAGCCCATCTTTGCAATCTCTTTTCCTGTCCACCAACATTCTGTTTTCCGTTCTTGAGTTCGGAGTAGAGCAACTGCTTTGGGAGATGGTGGTCGGGCATCTGGACAACATGGCCGGTCCAGCAGAGTTGATGGCGGAGGACCATCACTTCAGAGCTGGTGGTCTTTGCTTCTTCCAGCACGCTGACATTTGTCCATTTGTCTTCCCAAAAGATTTGCAGGATTTTTCAGGGGTAATACTGATGGAATCGTTCCAGGAGTTGCATGTGACGTCTGTAGACAGTCCACGATTTTGTTTCCTGTGGACTCACCTTGTTGTGTTTCTAATAACAACAACAACAACAACAATAGCAGCAGCAGCAACCCAGGGACCACTGACTTTGCTGCTTTATGACTATTGTTTGGGGAGTTGGTTCAGCACATTGGATGGTTTATTTGGAATTCTGACGAAAGCCTGGAGATACTGGAGACTATGTGAATAGTGCTACCAGAGATAACAATGCAGTTGATTTCTCTCTGATTCTTGCAGCTATGACTGTGTCAACTCTTTATTGGCCCCTCCGGCACCCACCTTCTTCCACCATGATTTCCAGACTGTAGAAGGCACAGAAGAAGGCTCATCCGCTGCTGTTTATCAAAGACGGGCGCCAGATGGTCCCATTCCGGCTGCAATCACCACTACCTTGCCCGCCATATCCTACAGTCCCAAAGACAAGCCATTGGGGTCCCTTCTTTCCCCTGGAAATGGGGGTCAGTCTCCTCCGGGCCGGCCAGCCTCACCTCGGGGGTCCAGCACCCCTGACCCCAAGGCTTGCCACTGGAAGAAGTACAGGTTCATCATCCTGAACTCCAGGCTGCATGAAGAGGTGGAAGAGGAAGAGGAGGAAGAGGAAGGGAGGCTGGACCCCCCAACATCCCTTACCCACACGGATACGGGTAGAAACACCTCTGGAATGGGACAAAGCATCCTGCGCAGGTTGGAAAATACAGCAATGTAGTATCTAAACCAGCTCCTGAATAGTCTTCAAGGGCAGCCCTATGTCCATAGCATTGCAGTAGTCCAATCTAGAGTTCATCAAATGACTACAGAAATGTAGTATCTAAACCAGCTTCTGGATAGTCTTCAAGGGCAGCCCTCTGTCCGTAGCATTGCAGTAGTCCAGTCTAGAGGTCATCAAATGACTACAGAAATATAATATCTAAACCAGCTCCTGGATAGTCTTCAAGGGCAGCCTTATATCCATACCATTGCAGTAGTCCAGTCTAGAGGTCATCAAATGACTACAGAAATGTAGTATTGAAACCAGCTCCTGGATAGTCTTCAAGGGCAGCCCTATGTCCGTAACAGTGCAGTAGTCCAGTCTAGAGATCATCAAATGACTACAGAAATGTAGCTAAACCAGCTTCTGGAGAGTCTTCAAGGGCAGCCCCATGTCCGTAGCATTGCAGTAGTCCAGTCTAGAGGTCATCAAATGACTACAGAAATGTAGTATCTAAACCAGCTCCTGGGTAGTCTTCAAGGGCAGCCCTCTGTCCGTAGCATTGCAATAGTCCAGTCTGGAGGTCATCAAATGACTACAGAAATGTAGTATCTAAACCAGCTCCTGGATAGTCTTCAAGGGCAGACCTATGTCCGTAGCATTGCAGTGGTCCAGCCTAGAGGTCATCAAATGACTACAGTAATGTAGTATCTAAACCAGCTCCTGGATAGCCTTCAAGGGCAGTCCTGTGTCTGTAACATTACAGTAGTCCAGTCTAAAGTTTGCCCATACCTAGGTTAGATTTCTATCTATCAGGAGTGCTTGAATTACATTATTCCTGGGTTAGAAATGTCTTTTTCCTCTTTCTGTAGGACTTCCTTGGCTCTTCCCCGCTGTTCAGTCTGCAACCAAGGCTCATTTGGAGTTGGTGAGTCCCAGAAGAGAAGTGGATGATGGGTTGTGTAATGGATGATGGGAGTCTTTGTCAAGAAGTGGATGATTGGTTGTGTAATGGATGATGGGAGTCTTTGTCACCTTGAGGACTTCTATGTACCTGAAGTTGGGTTCCAACTTTTGAGAAGTCTTTGGAACTGGTGCATATAACTATTACAAAGTCTTCAGCTTCCTCTGGTGCATAACCAAACTGCAACTCCCTGGGTGCCCTCATATGGGGCCAGGGCAGCTGAAGTGGGGCCAAACTGCATTAATTCCACAGTGTAGAATGAAAGTTGTTTTGATTATTTTTTGAAAATGACAACCTGAATCTCACTTCTGTATCTTACCTTCTTCGAGGCCAGGGATCGTACCACTTTGGAGAGTTTGATCTGCCGGTTCTTCAGGAAGGTATTGGAGGGCCCAATCCCCCAACAGCCACCAACGACTCCCTAGAGAAGCCATACAAGTGTCACTTCTGCAGCTCAGGCTTCCGCTACAAAGGAAACCTGGCAAGCCATCGGACGTTGCATACAGGTATGTCACTTTGCCACAAGTGTGCCTTCAAGTCACCTGCCAACTGATGTGATCCCCATTGCTTCTGGAAGGTTGTAATATGTATCTTTTATACATTTTAATATGTGTGTTTATAGAATTTTGCAATGTTTGTGTTTGACTGTGCTGTGACCTGCCTCAAACCATGAGCAACGGTAATAATAAAATAATAATAATTATTATTATTATTATTACTCCAATCATACAATGCCATTTGCAAGTCCATTGTATTTTGCAATATTTTTGTGTTTTAACTATGCTGTGTGATCTGCCTTGAGCCACGAGGAGAGGTGGGTAAGAAATAAAATAATAAGAATTATTATTATTATTATTATTACACTGATCATAGATTGATATTTCCAAGTGCTTTGTATTTTGCAATGTTTTTGTGTTTTAACTATGTTGTGTGATGTACCTCGAGCCACGAGGAGAGGTGGGTAAGAAATAAAATAATAATAATAATGATAATAATTATTGTTATTACACCAATCATATAATGCCATTTACAAGTGCATTGTATTTTGCAATGTTTGTGTGTTTTAACTGTGATCTGCCTCGAGCCATGAGGAGAGGTGGGTAAGAAATAAAATAATAATAATAATAATAATAATAATAATAGTTGTTGTTGTTATGATTACACCGATCATATAATGCCATTTACAAGTGCATTGTATTTTGCAATGTTTTTGTGTTTTAACTATGCTGCGTGATCTGTCTTGAGCCACGAGGAGAGGTGGGTAAGAAATAAAATTATTATTATTATTATTATTATTATTATTATTATTATTAATGCATCGATCATATAATGCAATTTGTCAGTGTACTGTATTTTGCAATGTTTGTGTGTTTTAACTATGCTGTGTGATCTGTCTCGAGCCACGAGGAGAGGTGGGTAAGAAATAAAATTATTATTATTATTATTATTATTATTATTATTATTACACCAATCATATAATGCCATTTGCAAGACCACTGTATTTTGCAATGTTTTGTGTTTTAACTGTGATGTGTGATCTGCTTCGTGACACGAAGAGAGGTAGGTAAGAAATATAATAATAATAATAATAATAATAATAACAACAACAACAACATCAATCATATAATGCCATTTGCAAGTGCATTGTACTTTGCAATGTTTGTGTGTTTTAACTGTGCTGTGTGATCTGCCTCGAGACACGAAGAGAGGTAGGTAAGAAATAATACTAATAATAATAATAATAATAATAATAATAATACACCGATCATATAATGCCATCTGCAAGTGCATTATATGTCACAGTAGATGGGGTCCTAGTCTATTTGTTTTCAGCCAGAAGCTTGATTTAGAGCAGAGTGGAGGGTGAGCCCTGGCACCAGCAAAACAAAACAAATCAGTTAATCCTTGCAAACAGAAGCAGGAGAATTGCACAGAGCTCTTTCCTTCCCATCTCTGTCCCCCGTTTCCCATTCCTTCATCACATCCCGCCTTCCGTTCCCATTTAGGAGACAAGCCATACCACTGCGGCATTTGCGGGGCGCAGTTCAACCGGCCGGCTAACCTCAAGACCCACCTGCGCATCCATTCCGGCGAGAAGCCCTACAAGTGCGAGACCTGCGGATCCCGGTTTGTACAGGTAAAGGATGCGCTTATATGGAGACCGCTGCAAAGGAGCTAGGCATGCTATGCACTGCAAAGAGATGGAGAAAGCAAGGTCTAAATGTCAGAAAACCCCAATTGGGAAGGATAGGGGCAGGTATGAGGTTAGGATACAATTCTGTGCCATTTGGGATGAATGCATTTGCACAGACAGACTTCCTAATTTGCAAAAAAAAAAAAATGTATTTTCTGCACAGAAAAGCAACCTACAAAATATGTATTTTTGCTTTTCTGCAAAAGTAAACAAACATTCCAATGTATCCCATCCTGTCTGGTCTTGGAGGCTAAGTGCAGTTGGCCTTAGGAAGGACTTGGAAGGGAGATCGTCAAGGAATCCCAGTTGCTGTTGTTGTTGTTGTTACTATTATTATTATATTTATTTATACCCTGCTTTATCTCTCCTGCAGGAGACTCAAAGTGGCTTAACATAAGAACATCAACATACAATTTAAAATACACAAATATTAAAACTGCATTAAAGATCATTAGTATTAAAACCAAATCAGATTAAACCCATACAACCATGTAAAACATGTAAAAAGTAAACAATGCTTAGAAGTTAACTTTGCACATGCTTCATCAGCCTATTGAAACTTGAAACATTTCACAACAGCGCCACCTACTGTGCAGGTGTGGAATGACATGTGACATTCTTACCTTGGAACAGCTAGGTTGCTTACTCAAGGGTTTGCTTCCTTGCTTGCTTCCAGGTAGCCCACCTGCGGGCCCACGTCCTGATCCACACCGGAGAGAAGCCGTACCCATGCGGGACGTGCGGGACACGTTTCCGGCACCTCCAGACCCTCAAGAGCCACATCCGCATCCACACTGGAGAGAAGCCCTACCAGGTGAGTCCAGTTGGGGGGTTTCAAATGACCCTAAAGTTGGGTATGGACCAAATAGGAATCTCAAACCCATCTAGTACGACACTGTTTTTGGGAAAAGGATGTCCTTTGAGATCACAACCTTTTGGAAAACCAGAATCTCCAAAGCCTTTTGGAAACATGACCTTTTGGAGATTAATTGGCATTCACACCATTTGGAATGATCATAACCTTTTTGTAAAGTATGATCTTCTTGAGAAGAGTTAAATACTCATTTAGTGAATCTTCTCTTTAGTGGTAAATAATATCCAATAGTATTCATGCAAGGCAAATTAGGTTTCTCAGTTGTTAGACTGGTATGCCTGGTTATCTCTCTGAACTGTTAGGAACAAAGATATGCCAATGCACCAAATATGGAGGACAATACCACTTTGACTGCCAATGTAAAATGCTATCAAATCAAATCAAAGAAGACTAAAGATTTTAGAATCATGTACTTATAGAGTTAGAAGAGACCTCGTGTCTTATCCCCTCCTGCTATGCAGGAAGATACAATCAAATCACCCCCAACAGATGGCCAGATGAAAAATCTCTAGAGGAAATTGTAACCTTGCGAAACTACAACTCTCAGGAATTCATTTGTATTGAGCCATGGGACTCCATGTGTCAAACCACATTAATTCTGCAGTGTAGATGCACCGCTAGTTTTTCCTGCAAACCCTGTTGACTCTTCTTCCAACAGTGCGAGAAATGCAACATCCGCTTCCGTCACAAGAGTCAGCTCCGGCTTCACCTGCGGCAGAAGCACGGCGCCGTCACCAACACCAAGATGCGCTACAAAGTCCTGGACGGCCCGTATGCCACCCTTTGCTGAGGAGCAGCAACCCATTCTGGAATCCCGGGAGTTGTAGTTTTGCAAGGTCTTTGGCCTTACCTGACCGAAAGTGCAAGTTCATTACCAAACTACAACTCCCACGATTCCGTCACAGCCCAGATGCACTTGCAGAGCTCTGCTGGCAGAGCCGATGCATCAAAACTCTATAAAAGCTTAATAAGCTTCGGGAGCAAAGAGGTTTGAAACTGCATTATGTGGTCAGTGTAGACCAGACTTGAGCAAACTTCAGCCCTCTGGGTGTTTTGGACTTCAAGTCCCATCGTTCCTAACAGCCTCAGGCCCCTTTCTTTTCCCCCTCCGCTGCTTAAGCGGATAAGTGGATAGTCTTCAAGGGCAGCCCGAGGTCCACAGCATTGCAGTAGTCAAGTCCAGAGGTCATCAAATGAGTACAGAAATGTATTGTCTAAACCAGCTTCTGGATAGTCTTCTAGGGCAGCCCCATGTACATAGCATTGCAGCAGTCCAGTCTAGAGATCATCAAATGAGTACAGAAATGTAGTGTCTAAACCAGCTTCTGGGTAGTCTTCTAGGGCAGCCCCATGTCCATAGCATTGCAGCAGTCCAGTCTAGAGGTCATCAAATGAGTACAGAAATGAAGTGTCTAAACCACTTCTGGATAGTCTTCTAGGGCAGCCCCATGTCCATAGCATTGCAGCAGTCCAGTCTAGAGGTCAGCAAATAACTACAGACATGAAGTGTCTAAACCAGCTTCTGGATAGTCTTCTAGGGCAGTCCCATGTCCATAGCATTGCAGCAGTCCAGTCTAGAGGTCATCAAAATGATGAAAAAAGGGGTAAGATTTATACGGCGGAGGGGGAAAAGGAAAGGGCCCGAGGCTGTTAGGAATGATGGGACTTGAAGTCCAAAACATCTGGAGGGAGGGTCCAAGTTTGCCCAGGACTGACCTATACCCTATAATGCTCTTACCAATCTTGCTAGGAATGATGGGAATTGTAGTCCAATAGGCCTGGAGCATGCCAGGTCAGTGAACCCTAAATTAATGGGGATTTATTGTTTTATAATAATGCGTTTCTCATATAATGATGATGATGATATTTCCTTTGCTGCTTTTTTTTTCTTATTTCTGCCCATCTTCCTCTTTGCAATTTTGCTCATTCTGTGATCCTTCAGGAAAGGTATTATTGGGAAGTCTGTTTTGGAATTGAGTTGGCGAAGAAGAGAGGTCTGGAACCTTCAATAAATAATATTCTAGAAGAGGTCTGGAACCTCTTTTCTGTATCTGGAAGGAAGGAAGGGACGAAACGGATGTATGTATAGCGGGGTCAGCCACCGAGGGTGCATCTACACCATAGATTTAATGCGGTTTGACACCACTTGAACCTGGTGCAATACTATGGGATCTTGGGAGGTGTAGTTTGGCAAGGTCTTTCACCCTATTCCATAACACTGAGCCAAAGCAGTTCAAGTGGTTTCAAACTGCATCAGTTCTATAGTGTAGATGTGTTCACTGGGCACATATTAGCCTTTGAATCATATATGGCCCAACACTATTTGTTCCCATTTGTGGCTGAGAGAGTGACCCTTTCTAATGATTCAGTGTACACAAGCTATGTTTCATGCATAACCGTTATTAAAACAATATTGTATAAAATGACCTATGTGTATGAATGTTCTGTTTAGATTAGAGTCTGGTTCCAAAGTATCTCATTATGTATATGCAAATATATGCAAATATACCAAATGTATTTATTATTATTATTATTATTATTATTATTATTATTATTATTATGTATTTATATCCCCCCCCTTTTTCTCTGCCAAATATTATTAAAATATTCCCATCCAAACCCAAGTAACGAAGGTGGAGGCATTACTTTTCATTCAACCCCCGTACCTATATACAAATATATCTATGTGCAAATATACCAAAATGCCTCTAGAACATGGCTCTATAGCCCGAAAAAACCCACAAGAACCTATACCAAAATTGTTATTATTACTGTTACTATTATTATTCCCCCCTTTTTTCTCTGCCAAAGGAGACTCAAAGCAGCTAACATTAAAACTTAGGCTCATCTCCAAAATATCTAATTGCAAAATATGCAAATATATACCTAAATATGCAAATATATACCTAAATATGCAAATATATGAGGGTTGAATGAAAAGTAATGCCTCCACCTTCGTAACTCCTGAACAGATGGGAGTACTGGTATGCGACAGGTACTGGCTTGTTCAGTAAACTCTCCTCTACAGTTCTATTTTGTCAGGAAGCCTTAGCATTGAACGGTTGTGTTGTTAAAGTGCGAAGTATGGAAACCTGCGGTCAATGCGACTTAAGCAACGTGCAGTCATTGAATTCTTGACAGCAGAAGGTGTCACCCCAAAGGAGATTCATCAGAGAATATAAGCTGTTTATGGGGATTGTGTTGGTGTGAGTACTGTGCGTCATTGGGCGAGTAAGTTTAAAGATGTTGAGGTGGGAACATCTGACTTGCGTGACAACGAAAGAACTGGACGTCCTGTGACACCAACCACCGAGTTTCACAAGCAAAAGGTTGACAGATTGATTCAGGACAATCGTCGTATCACTCAGGGAGAAATTTCAAGCATAATTGGCATTTCACAAGAACGTGTGGGTCACATTATTGCTTTGCTTGGCTATCGGAAGATCTGTGCACAATGGGTACCCAGGATGACAGAATTGTAAGAAGCAGGTAGTGGAAACAAAGTGTCAACTTCTTCCCTGACGGCTTCAAAAAATGTGTTCAATGTTGGCAGAAATGTATCCAATTGTCTGGTGATTATGTGGAAAAGTGAATAGTTGGGTTTTTGTAGTTTTTTCAGGCTATATGTCCATGGTCTAGAGGCATTCTCTCCTGACATTTCGCCTGCATCTATGGCAAGCATCCTCAGAGGTAGTGAGGTCCTCAGAGGTAGTGAGGACCTCACTACCTCTGAGGATGCTTGCCATAGATGCAGGCGAAACGTCAGGAGAGAATGCCTCTAGACCATGGCCATATAGCCCGAAAAGACTACAACAACCTAGTGATTCCGGCCATGAAAGCCTTCGACAAAGTGAATAGTGGTCATTAAAGAGCACGTTCTAAGGATTATTTCTGCATTTGATTTAGTAAAATATTCCCATCCAAACCCAAGTAACGAAGGTGGAGGCATTACTTTTCATTCAACCCTCGTACCTATTTACAAATATACCTATGTGCAAATATAACAAAATTGTTATTATTACTGTTACTACTATTATTCCCCCCTTTTTTCTCTGCCAAAGGAGACTCAAAGCAGCTAACATTAAAACTTCTCCAAAATATCTCATTGCAAATATATTGCACATATGCAAATATATCTATATACAAATTTACCTATATTCAAATACACCAAAATTATTTTATTTTTATTATTGTTTCTTACATTTCTCTCCTGCCCTTCTCCACACAAGGGGGGTCAGAGCGGCCTCACATATTATTATTATTATTATTATTATTATTATTATTATTATTATTATACCGCCCTTTTCTCTGCCAAATAAGACTCAAAGCAGCTAACATCAAAATCCAAAATCCAAATCACTTTTGATCCTTAAAGGTCTTGGTTCTACAGTAACTAAGGAGGAATCTACCCTGTAGAATGGATGCAATTTGATCCAGCTTTAATGGCTATTGAATCCTGGAAGTTGTAGTTTGGCAAAGCCCCAGCACTCTTTGGCAGGGAAGGCTAAAGACCCTGTGAAACTACAACTCCATAATAAAGTCAAGGACGATTCAGGCTGCATCTACACTGTTGAATTAATGCTGGCTCAATGCTAAGGAATAATGGGAGTTGTAGTTTGACAAGGTCTTTCCGTCTTCTCCACCCAAGAATGCTGGTGAACTGCAAATCCCAGGATTCCACAGCATTAAGCCACCAAAGTGGGACCAAACTGAATTAATTCGACAATGTAGATGCAATGAAAAGTCCAAGCAGAAACGGACTACGATAAATCAGACAGTGCCGGTTGCCAAATGACTCACAATGAGCCACACAGCTGCGCTACATACAACTTTCTGCCCACCTCAAAGGCTTCCTGAGCGTTATATAGTACTTTCTCCAAAAACCCAGAGCGTGACGGACAGGGATTTCCTCTCCAAACAAAAGGTCTCCTCGCCAGCTGCATCCGGCCTTCTGTGTCCAGACCAATGTCTCAAGGCTGAGATTGCAAACTGGTTGCCTGAAAAGAATATGAGATCATTGCCCTCTACAATTAGAATTCTGACCACAAATAACATTTTCGCTCAGTCTCCAGATAGCTAGCACTGCAGAACATAAAACTTGGATCTTAAGTGTGGGTTTGGCGCTGGACTAGATGACCCTTGGAGTTCCCTTCCAAGTCTAGAATCCAATGATCCTATTATTATTTTTAAAAGGGAATATTTTTCTATAGTGACTCATTCTACAATGTAGACGGTCTTTAGCCTTTTCGGTCAAAGAGGCTGGTGCCTTCACCAAACTACAACTCCCAGGCATCCAGAGCATAGGTTGATTGAATGAATGCCTGAACTGTCGTGGCTTTATGCAATGGGATCCTAAGAGTGATAGCTATATAAGGTCTTGAGCCTTCTCTGCCAAACAGTGCTGGGCCCTTACCAAGCTACAACTACCAAGCTACAACTTTCCTAGCCCTTTCACCTCTCAATTCCTGTTTGCATGTCTGTATTTTTAGTGCTCGATTCAAGAAGAAGGTCAGTTGGGTCACCTTCGGAGGTGTGTTTGGCTGGAGTCCAGTTCCTCTGGACTTCCTGCAAGAGAGGAGGAAGAGGAGGAGGCAGCAAACTGCGGCAGGATGGTGGCCAAACATCACAAACCCACACAAACAGAGGACTTCCCCTGTGAGGCTCTTGCAGGAAACAGGTGCAAAGGCCACGATCCCTGCAAACCAGCCCTTCCTCCTCCTCCTCTGCCGCTGATGATATCACTCTAGGGCAGAATTCCCCATGGATCCCACCCATTTAATATGGTTTGTTGGGTTTTCAACTCCCAGCATCCCCAGCCAACTATGCCAGGAATTCTGGGAGCAGATCTTCGCCCACCTTTTTATGGTCAGCAGAGGTATGACACCGATACCTAACCCTTGCAAAAGAGGCAAGAGGTTTGCAAATTGTTGTGTGCCTGGTGTGACTCCTTGTTGAATCACGATTCAATGAGTTCATCTGCAATGACTCATAGAATACTAGACTTGGAAGAGACACCAAGGGCCATCCAGTCCACTCCCCTTCTGCTATGCAGGAAGGCACAAGTCGAGCCCTCCCGACAGATGGCCATCCAGCCTCTGCTGAAAAACCTGCAGGGAAGGAGATTCCACCAACCCTCACCATCAGGAGGTTCTTACTAAGGTTTAAGTGGAATCTCTTTTTTGCCACTTGAATCCATGGCTCCTCTGTGTCCTAGTCTCATACATCTAATGGAGTGGAAACAAACTAGTATCTGCAGATACATTTGAGGGGGGGGGGGGTACCTGAAATGAACAGCTGTGGGTCATTGCCCTTGGGCCTTTTGACTCCCAGATTTAGATGGGCCTCAAGTGAAAAGAAAGAAAGGGGGAAAGGAAAGGAGACAGAAAGGAAAAGGACAGGAAGGAGAGAAGGGAGGAAAGGAGGGAGGGAAGGGGAGAGGAAAAGGAAGGATAGAAAGAAAGAAAGAGGAAGGAAGGGGAAAGAAGAAGGAAGGAAGGAAAGAAGAAAGGAAGGAGAAGGAAGGAAGGAAGGAAGGGAAGAAAGGAAAGGAAGAGAGAGATAAAAGTAAACAAAGGAAGGGAAGGAAGCAAGGAAGGAAGGGAAGAAAGGAAAGGAGGAGAAGAAAAAGAAAAAGGAAGGGAAGGAAGCAAGGAAGAAAGGAAGAAGGGAAAAAGGAGATGGAGGGAGGAAAAAGGAAAGGAGGAAAGGAAAGAAAGGGAAGGAGGAAGGAAAAGAAGAAGGAAGGGAAGGAAGCAAGGAAGGAAGGGAGGGGAAGGAAGGAGAAGAAAGGAGAAAGGAAAGGAGGAGGGAGGGAAGAATGAATGAAGGAAGGAAGGAAGGAAGAAGGAAGGAAGGAAAGGAAGGAAAAGAAGAAGGAAGGAAGGAAAGGAAAGAAAGAGGGAGGGAAGAAGAAAGGAAGAAGAGAAGGAGGAGAGGAGGAAAGGAAGGAAGGAAGGAAGGAAGGAAGGAAAGGGAAGGAAGAAGAAGGAAGAAGGAAGAAGGAAGAAGGAAGGAAGGGAAAAAAAAGGAAAGAAAGAAAGGAAGGGAGAGAGAAAAGAAAAAGGAAGGGAAGGAAGGGAAGGGAAGGGAGAGAAGAGAAGGAAGAAAGTAAAGAAAGGAGGGAAGGAGGGAAGCAAAAAAGAAGGGAAGAAAGAAGGAAGGAAAGAAAGAGAAAGAAAGAAAGGAAGGAAGGGAAGAAAGAAGGAAGAAAGAAAAAGCAGAAGAAAGGGAAGGGGGAAGGAAGAAAAGAAGGGAAGAAAGGAAGAAAGGAAAAAGGAGGGAAGAAGAAGGAAGGAGGAAGGAAGGAAAGAAGAGGAAGGGAGGGGGAGAGAGAAGGAAGGGAAGGAAGGAAGGGGAAGCAAAGCAAAGCAAAACAAAACTGGCCCCTAAATTCTGCTTCTCTTTACCTACTGAGTGTTGATGCTTATCTGCATTGGGGAAAATGCAACCAGCGGGCCAGACCATTGGGCCCAAAGTCCTATACCAAATAAGTGGCCCCCAGTTTCTTATGGCGCATGGCCTCACCTGTGCATGGCTCACGTGGATCCCCTTCCGGTTAAGGAACATATGGTTCAGAGCCGCAAGCAGAAGACGTGGGTTACCGTTGCATCCTAAGGAACATATGCAGAAATATATGTGGCCCACTATGATATAAGGAACATACGGCACATGTAGAGTGGATGTGGGCCACCGTTGCATGATAAAGAAGACGTGGCTCATGGATCAGAATGTCAAGCTCAAAAGCTCCAGTTTCTATGGCAAACTTCGGCTCCGGCATCTTCTCAGCAGCGCGAGACAGCACATCAAGCCAGAAATAACACCGATTATTATTCCTCAAGCGCCTCTTCAGCAAAACAGAACCTGAACAGTCCTGCTGAGTTTCAAAAGGGAAAGAATGTGCAGTGGAGTGGAAGGAACCCTTGCAAGTCAGGCAGCCACACAGGGGGATTTAATGCAGTTTGATACCACTTCAATTACCATGGCTCAAGGCTACAGAATCCTGGGAGTTGTAGTTTCCCACGTCTTTCGCCTTAACCCCCTTCCAGGGAGAGCTAGAGCCTCACCAAACTACAAACCCCAAAAGTAATGTCAAACTACACTTTTTCTACAGTGTATGTCCATCATCTCCTTCCTTAGGCCCAAGTTTAAGGGATGATGGGAGTTGTTAGCCTGCAAAGTACATTTTCCAACCCCAGATCTGGGGATACTGGGAGTTGTAGTCCCACCAAATACCCTTTCCTAGGCTCAAAGATGAGGAATTATGGGGTTTGTAGTCCCCACCAAGTCCTGGTGGTTTCTAAGGAGGCTTGGTAACGTTAGGAAAAGTAACTTCCCCAAGGATGCTCTTGCAACATCCTGCTCGAGATCCTCCTGGAATGGCTTTCAAAGAGGTTGCTCTTTCTGCGCATGCGCGCGGACGTCACCTGTCCTCTGCTGATCTGTTTGGAACCCGATGGAAGAGCCGCCAGGGGTGGTGGGCGTGGCTTCTCCCGGCACGCCCCGCCCCCTTGGAATCTTCCAACCTTTGCTCGCCGCTGATAGGTAGTCGGCATGGTTTGTCCCGGAACGCCCCGCCCCTTTCGAATCTAGCAATACTGTCTCGCTGCTGAGATGTAGTGGGCGTGGCTTAGCCCAACACGCCCCGCCTCTTTTGACTCTTACAGTCCTCCCTCGCTGCTGATAGGTAGTGGGCGTGGCTTAGCCCAGAATGCCCCGTCCCTTTCGAATCTTGCAATCCTGACTCGCCTGTGAGAGGTAGTGGGCGTGGCTTAGCCCAGCACGCCCCGCCTCTTTTGAATCCTACAATACTGACTCGCCGCTGAGAGGTAGTGGGCGTGGCTTAACCCGGAGCGCTCCGCCCCTTTCGAATCTTGCAAGACTGGCTCGCCGCTGAGAGGTAGTGGGCGTGGCTAAACCTGCCCCGTCCCTTTCGAATCTTGCAATCCTGACTCGCCTGTGAGAGGTAGTGGGCGTGGCTTAGCCCAGCACGCCCCGCCTCTTTTGAATCCTACAATACTGACTCGCCGCTGAGAGGTAGTGGGCGTGGCTTAACCCGGAGCGCTCCGCCCCTTTCGAATCTTGCAAGACTGGCTCGCCGCTGAGAGGTAGTGGGCGTGACTTCTCCCGGCACGCCCCGCCCCTTTCGAATCTTGTAATACTGGCTCGCCGCTGAGATGCAGTGGGCGTGGCTTGACCCGGATCGCTCCGCCCCTTTCTAATCTTGCAATACTGGCTCGCCACTGAGAATTAGTGGGCGTGGCTTAACCGGGCAAGCCCCGCCCCTTTAGAATCTTGCAAGACTGGTTCGCCGCTGCCTGAATCGCAGCTGAGAGGTGGTGGGCGTGGCTTGTCCCGGCGCGCCCCGCCCCCTTTGGAACCTTGCAACCTTGCCTTCGGCGCTGCTCCATCCTGCGTTGCTCCCAATTGGAGGGGAGCCATTAATCCGGTTTCCCTTCCTCCGGGAGGCAAAGAGAGGCTTGGAACAGAGGGTAAGCGGGTCTTCTCGGGAGTCAATGCAAAGGGGCTCCTGCATGGCAGGTCACTGGAGGTCACCAGATCTTTCCCAGCAAGGATTCCCAATTGGAAATGGGGGGTCATAGGAGGTTGCTTATTTGGCCATGCTTGCAAGGCCTTTCAATGCCAGAAGTTACATTTCAATGACCTGTGATGCCTTTACCCTTCAGACCAGCAAGAGGGGGAAAGAGGTTGGATGTGGCATGATGATGATGATGATGATGACCTTAATTTACATACATTTGCGTGCAGACTGAAAAGTAGTTGATAGGTGAAAGGTGTTGTATTATAATATTAATTTACATATATTTAAATGCATTTATTTTTTTCAAATGCAGGCAAGTAGCGGAAAGATGGGAATATTGCATTATAATATTTTATTATTATTATTATTATGTTGCTTTTATGTGCTTAAAATGTATTTCTTTCAAATGCAGGCAAGTACGGTAGCTTATAGACGGGGTGTTGCATTATTATATTATTATTATTATTATTATTATTTATGTGCTTAAAATATATTTCTTTCAAATGCAGGCAAGTAGCAGAAAGATGGGGATATTGCATTATAATATTAATTATTATTATTTTGCTTTATGTGCTTAAAATGTGCTTAAAATGTGCTTAAAATGTAGGTGATAGACAGGGCGTTGCATTATAATATATTATTATTATTATTATTATTATTTATGTGCTTAAAATGTATTTCTTTCAAATGCAGGCAAGTAGCTGATAGACGGTGTGTTGCATTATAATATATTATTATTATTATTATTATTATTATTATTATTATTATTTATGTGCTTAAAATGTATTTCTTTCAAATGCAGGCTAGTACCTGATAGGCCGGGTGTTGCATTATAATATATTATTATTATTATTATTATTATTATTATTATTATTATTTATGTGCCCAAAATGTATTTCTTTCAAATGCAGGCAAGTAGCTGATAGACGGGGGGTTGCATTATAATATTATTATTATTATTATTATTATTATTATTATTATTTATGTGCTTAAAATGTATTTCTTTCAAATGCAGGCTAGTACCTGATAGGCCGGGTGTTGCATTATAATAATAATAATATATTATTATTATTATTATTATTATTATTATTATTATTATTATTTATGTGCCTAAAATGTATTTCTTTCAAATGCAGGCAAGTAGCTGATAGATGGGCGTTGCATTATTATAATATATTATTATTATTATTATTATTATTATTATTATTATTAATGTGCTTAAAATGTATTTCTTTCAAATGCAGGCTAGTACCTGATAGGCCGGGCGTTGCATTATAATATATTATTATTATTATTATTATTATTATTATTATTATTATTTATGTGCCTAAAATGTATTTCTTTCAAATGCAGGCAAGTAGCTGATAGATGGGCGTTGCATTATTATAATATATTATTATTATTATTATTATTATTATTATTATTATTTATGTGCTTAAAATGTATTTCTTTCAAATGCAGGCAACTAGCTGATAGATGGGGTGTTGCATAATAATAATAATAATAAATAATAATAATAATATATTATTATTATTATTATTATTATTATTATTATTATTTTCCTTTTATGTGCATATATATGTATATGTATATGATTTATTGTGCAAGTGCAAGCAAGTCCCTGAAACCTGTGGAAATTGGAGGTTGCATGACAATCTTAATTTAAATATATTTAAATGTATTTATTTATTCAAATTTAGGTAAGTAGCTGAAAGGGGGGTATTACATTATAATATTTATTATAATATTTTGTGTGCTAAAATCAATACATTGAGCAATTTAAAATCTAAACCCTGTAAATGTTATAATTAAACCTCGGACGATTAAAATAAATAGTTAAAACCATTAGAATTCATATATATATAATTTATTTTGCAAATGCAGGCAAGTCCCTAAAACCTGTGGAGGTTGGATGTTGCATTGCAATCTTAATTTAGATATATTTAAATTATTATTTTTTAAATTTAGGCAAGTAGCTGAAAGATGGGGATATTGCATTAATAATAATAATAATAATAATAATACTAATTGAACTGTTTAAAGAGAGGGAGAGGGAGAGATTTTGCAAGATCAGGCAAACCCGGATAGGGTTGGAGGTTGCATTACAATCTTCATTTACATGTATATAAATTTATTTCCCAAATTCGTGCAAATCTCTGAAAGCTGGGTGGGTATTGCATTATAATCTCTCTCTCTCTCTTTCTCTCTCTCTCTCTCTCTCTCTCTCTCTCTCTCTATATATATATATATATATATATATATAGTAACTCTGAGTTTCTGGTATGGGGTCCCTAGAAGTTCAAGTTAATTTTCCTTCTTTTATTATTATTTTCAAACTCTTATAGGTATACACTCGTTTTCTTCGTCCTCCTAGCTTGAAGGATTTTGGAATACAGACCTTGGGATTTATAGTGCACCCAAGTCCCGCTCCATGGCCTTAATGGAAAGCAGAGCCGGAGGTTGCTGCAGCTGATAAGAGGGGTGAGTAACATGGTTGGAATTTCTAAGAGCGAAAAATCAGGATGATATAATAATAATAATAATAATAATAATAATAATAATAATAATGGATTGAAATTCCCAGCAGCAAGTCAGTAATAAGGAAGACTGGTAGTTGAGTTATATCTCAGTCTCTGGATAGTCTTCAAGCCCTATGTTTGTAGTGATCAATGTAGTATCTAAACCAGCTTCTGGATAGTCTTCAAGAGCAGCCCTATGTCCGTAGCATTGCAGTAGTCCAGTCAAGAGGTCATCAGATTAATACAGAAATGTAGTATCTAAACCAGCTTCTGGATAGTCTTCAAGGGCAACCCCATGTCCGTAGCGTTGCAGTAGTCCAGTCTAAATGACTACAGAAATGTAGAATCTAAACCAGCTTATGGATCATCTTCAAGGGCGGCCCTATGTCCATAGTATTGCAGTAGTCTAGTCTAGAGGTCATCAAATGACTACAGAAATGTAGTATCTAAACCAGCTCGTGGATAGTCTTCAAGGGCAGCCCCATGTCCGTAGCATTGCAGTAGTCTGGTTTAGAGGTCATCAAATGACTACAGAAATGTAGTATCTAAATGAGCTTCTGGGTAGTCTCCAATGGAGCCCTATGTCAGTTGCATTGCAGTAGTCCAGTCTACAGGACATCAAATGACTACAGAAATGTAGTATCTAAACCAGCTTCTGGGTAGTCTTCAAGGGCAGCCCCATGTCCGTAGCATTGCAGTAGTCCAGTCAAGAGGTCATCAGATTAATACAGAAATGTAGTATCTAAACGAGCTTCTGGATAGTCTTCAAGGGCAACCCATGTCCGTAGCATTGCAGTAGTCCAGTCTAGAGGTCATCAAATGACTACAGAAACATAGAATCAGGCATAGGCAAACTTGGGCCTTCTAGATGTTTTGGACTTCAACTCCCACAATTCCTAACAGCCTCAGGCCCTTTCCTTTTCCCCCTCTGCCCTATAAATCTTACCCCTTTTTTCATCATTTTGATGACCCCTCGACTGGACTGCTGCAATGCTATGGACATGGGGCTGCCCTAGAAGACTACCCAGAAGCTGGTTTAGACACTACATTTCTGTACTCATTTGATGACCTCTGGACTGGACTACTGCAATGCTATGGACCTAGGGCTGCCCTTGAAGACTATCCACTTATCCGCTTAAGCGGCAGAAGGGGAAAAGGAAAGGGCCTGAGGCTGTTGGGAATTGTGGGAGTTGAAGTCCAAAACACCTGGGGGGAGTGCCCAAGTTAGCCCATGCCTGTGTTACATGGTGTAATCACCCGGCGCCTCCATCTCCCCGCAGGATCCATGCCTCTGCAGGGAGGGGTCCACGCCGAACCCCCGGATGGCGGCTGGGGTTGGATGATCGTCCTGGCGGCTTTCCTGCAATCTGCTTTAGTCTTCGGCGTGATCCGCTCCTTCGGGGTCTTCTTCGTGGAGTTTGTGACCTACTTCGGGGAGCTGTCGGGGCGCATCTCCTGGATCACGTCCATCGGGATCGCCGTGCAACAGTTTGCAAGTGAGTAACACTAGTTCGAGGATGCTGGGAACTGTCATCCAAAAAAAATATTCAATGTCTAATCAAAGGTTGGGGGAGATGTTAAAAGGGTGTATTAGGGATCGTCGAATGAGAAGTTATGATCCTGAACTAAATCTCCTCCCTCCCCGCTCCCCACAAATATACCTTTTTCATTGCTATCTCACCTGTGATAATGCAGCATGTCTCATATAAGAGCCACATCCACTGTTTTAACATGGTGGAATGTATTCCACACTGGGCATGCATACTCAACAGCAGAGTAGCAAGCACAAGGGCAGATGTCTTCACTGTGTCTGGTTGTGATCCCCAGGTTGTGCCAGTCAGCTTTCGTATGATATTATTTCTAGCGCCCACTTTTTGCTTGATATTCAGGCAGTGCTTCTTGTAGGTCAGAGCATGGTCCAGAGTGACTCCCAGGTATTTGGGTGCGCTGCAATGCTCCAGTGGGATTCCTTCCCAGGTCATCCTCAGACCTCGAGATGCTTGTCTGTTCTCAAGATAAAAAGCACACGTCTGTGTTTTAGATCGAGTAGGAATCAGCTGGTTTCCCCTGTAATAGCAAGTAAGAGCACCTAAAGATTTGGAGAGCTTCTGTTCAACCATCGCAAAGTTCCCTACTTGGGTGGTGATGGCGCAATCATCAGCATAAATTAAACTCTCTGTCCCTTCTGGCAGTGGCTGATCATTTGTGTAAATGTTGAACATTGATGGATCAAGCATGCTTCCCTGAGGCAGGGCGTTCTTCTGTTTTCACTTCTCAGACCTGAAACTCAACAAAAAAGCTCCTGTTTTGTAGCTTTGTATTAAATAATAATAATAATAAGAAGAAGAAGAAGAAGAAACAACTCTCAAGGTAGTAATTACAAAAGGTGGTAGATCTGACTTAATATTAATTTGTTGTCGTTGTTGTTGTTGTTATTATTATTATTATTATTATTAGAAACAGCTATCAAGGTAGCAATCACAGAAGTTGTTGTTGTTGTTGTTTGTTGTCATTAGAAACCAAGTGTCAAGGTAGCAATCACAAAAGGTGGTAGATTTTGCTTAATATTAATGTTTATTATTATTATTAGAAACAGGTCTCAAGTTAGTAACTACAAAAGGTGATTGATTTGACTTTAGCATTAATATATTGTTATGATTATTGTTGCTATTGAAAACAAGTGTCAAGGTAGCAATCACAAAAGGTGGCAGATTTGGCTTAATATTAATTTTTTATTATTATTAGAAACAGGTCTCAAGTTAGTAACTACAAAAGGTGGTTGATTTGGCCTAGCATTAATATACTGTTATTGTTGTTGTTGTCATTAGAAACAAGTGTCAAGGTAGCAATCACAAAAGGTGGTAGATTTGGCTTAATATTATTTTTTTATTATTATAATTCTCAGCAACAAGTCAGTAATAAGAAAGAGCGGTAGTTGAGTTATATCTCAATCTCTGGATAGTCCTCAAGGGCAGCCCCATGTCCATGTCCAGTCTAGAGGTCAACAAATGACTACAGAAATGTAGCATCTAAACCAGCTTCTGGATAGTCTTCAAGGGCAGCCCTATGTCTGTAGCATTGCAGTAGTCCAGTCTAGAGGTCATCAAATGGCTATAGAAATGTAGTATCTAAACCAGCTTCTGGATAGTCTTCAAGGGTAGTCCTATATCCGTAGCATTGCAGTAGTCCAGTCTAGAGGTCATCAAATGACTACAGAAATGTAGTATCTAAACCATCTTCTGGATAGTCTTCAAGGGTAGTCCTATATCCGTAGCATTGCAGTAGTCCAGCCTAGAGGTCATCAAATGACTACAGAAATGTAGTATCTAAACCAGATTCTGGATAGTCTTCAAGGGCAGCCCCATGTCTGTAGAATTGCAGTAGTCCAGTCTAGAGGTCATCAAATGACTACAGAAATGTAGTATCTAAACCAGCTTCTGGATAGTCTTCAAGGGCAGCCCTATGTCTGTAGCATTGCAGTAGTCCAGTCTAGAGGTCATCAAATGGCTATAGAAATGTAGTATCCAAACCAGCTTCTGGATAGTCTTCAAGGGTAGTCCTATATCCGTAGCATTGCAGTAGTCCAGACTAGAGGTCATCAAATATCTACAGAAATGTAGTATTTAAACCAGCTTCTGGATAGTCTTCAAGGGCAACCCCATGTCTGTAGCAGTGCAGTAGTCCAGTCTAGAGGTCATCAAATGATTAGTTAGTAAATGAAGTTAGTAACTACAAAAGGTGGTTGATTTGGCTTAGCATTAATTTATTATTATTATTATTATTATTATTATTATTATTATTATTCAATTGTAAGATGTCATAGATTGTAAGGCGCACCCCAATTTCAATACCATCACCACCAACAAAAAATACATAAGGTGCACCTGTGATTCTAAAACACACCCTCTTTTTAGAGATGCGTATACAGGAAAAAAGTGTGTCTTAGAACTGCAGAAATCTGTTGTTGTTGTTGTTGTTGTTGTTATGTTATTTCTTACCTCCGGTCCTGGCAAACCATAGAGACTGTGGCATTTGGCGTCTGCATAGAAATGGTACACATAAAAACAATTTCCATCAATCCTAACATAGCTAGTGATGAGGAATGCTGGGAGTTGCAGTCCAGCAACATTTGGGGAACCACCTTTGGGGTAACCGGATGGCAGTAAAATGGATTTGTCCTCCCTGGCAGGTCCGGTGGGCAGCGCCTTGAGCTCTCGCTATGGGGCACGCCCGGTTATTTTGGCCGGCGGGTTTTTCTCTGGCTTGGGCTTCCTCTTGGCCTCCTTTGCCACCTGCCTGGCTCACCTGTACCTCTCCATCGGACTCCTCTCAGGTAAGACCAGGCACCCTTTATCTTAATGCAATCCACAAAATGTAGGGGGAGGGAATATAATTCTGCACCTGGAATGTGTTCAGCTCAATCTGCTTTTCACCTAACCCATGACTACACCTCCCATCATCCCTGGTGACTGGGGATAATGGGAAGTGTAGTCCAGCACACCTGAAAAGACCTCAGATTGGGAAAGTCTCCACTCAATGAAGCCAGTATGATGTAATTAATGTTACTTTATTTTTTTAATCCAATTGCATCATTTATTTTGCAACAAGGAGCTTTTAAAATGGGTGAAAAGCCAAGTCCAGATAAGAAATTGATTAACGTTCAGATGAGTTAAAGATGAGTTACCAATGGAGTAGCGAGAAAAACAGGTTTTTCAGTGAAGATTAATGCTGGCAGCCGAAAGGGAATGGCAAAATCACTTTCAGAATGGCTGCCACTTCTTGACAAGGATTTCCTCTCTAAGGATAGATGCCAAACATTCCATTTTTCCCTCCGTATCCACAGGGGATTAATTCCATAACTCTGTGTGGATACTCAAATCCACAGATAATCAAGTGCCATTAGATGGAGTGGTATAATAAGTACTATATTTGGGGGGCTGGAGAGAGACTAAGGACCTGCGAAACGGTGGGAAGCATGGATTCATGCCATTCCCCAAATCCTCAGTCTCTCTACACCAGGTATGGGCAAACCCAGGTCTGGATGTGGCCCCTTGGGTCCTCTTCTCAGGCCCTCCTCTCTCTCACCATCCTATCCTTCCTTCTCTCTTTCCTTCCTCTTTCCCTCCCTCTTTCTCTTTCCCTTCCATCCCTTCGTCTTTCCTTCCCTCTCTCCCTCTTTCTCCTTCCTTTCCTTTCCTTTCCTCCAAGTTATTATTAAAATGTCCTTTCCATTCCTAGATAGTAGGCCCTCTCCTTTCCTTTCCTTTCCTTTTCTTTCCTTTCCTTTCCTTTCCTTTCCTTTCCTTTCCTTTCCTTTCCTTTCCTTTCCTTTCCTTCCTTTCCTTTCCTTTCCTTTCCTTTCCTTTTTCCTTTCCTTTCCTTTTTCCTTTCCTTTTTCCTTTCCTTTTTCCTTTCCTTTCCTTTCCTTTCCTTTCCTTTCCTTTCCTTTCCTTTCCTTTCCTTTCCTTTCCTTCCCTTCCCTTCCCTTCCCTTCCCTTCCCTTCCCTTCCCTTCCTTCCTTCCTTCCCTTCCCTTCCTCCTTCCCTTCCCTTCCCTCCCTTCCTCCCTTCCCTTCTCCCTTCCCTTCCCTTCCCTTCCTCCTTCCTTCCCTTTTGTCCTTCCTTCTCTCTTCCCTTCCATCCATCCCCCCTCCCTTCCCCCCCCCTTTCTCCCCCTCCCTCCCTCTTTCCCCTTTTTCCCTTTCATCCTTTCTTCCTTTTCTCCTCCTTTCCTCCCTCCCTCCCCTTTCATCCTTCCTTCCCTCCCTTTTGTCTCTTTCTCTCTTCCTTCCTCCTCCCTTCTCTTCCCTCTTTCTCCTTCCATCCTTCCCTTCCACCTTTTTTCCTTCCCTCCCTTTTCTTTTTCTCTCTTTCCTTCCTCCTCCCTTTCCTCCTCTTTCTCCTTCCATCCTTCCTTCCCCTTTTCTTCTTCCTTCCTCTTCCTCCCTCTCTCCCTTTCCTCCCTTCCTACTTCCTTTCCTTCCTTCCTTCCTTCCTTCCTTCCTTCCTTCCTTCCTTCCTCTCCTCCTCCTCCTCTTCCTCCTCCTTTTGTCCTCATCCCTTCTCTCCATCCACCCACCCCTCTTTCTCCCTCCTTCTTTCCCCTTCTCCTTTCATTCTTCTTCCTCTCTTTCCTTCCTCCTTCCCTCCTTCCCTCCTCCTCCTTCCCTCCACTTCCTTCCTCCTTCCCTTTTGTCTTTCCTTCCTTTCTCTCTTTCCTTCCTCCTCCCTTCCTCCTCTTTCTCCCTTCCTTCTTCCTTTCATCCTTCCTTTCCTTTTTCTTCTCTCTCTCCCTTTCTCCTTCCTTCCTTCCTTTTTGTCCTTCCTTCCTTTTCTCTTTCCCTTCCACCCATCCCTCTTTCTCCCTCCCTCTTTCCCCTTCTTCCCTTTCATCCTTTCTTCTCTCTTTCCTTCCTCCTTCCATCCTCCCTTCCGGACATCCATCCTTCCTTCCCTCCCTTTTGTCTTCTTTCTCTCTTTCCTTCCTCCTCCCTTTCCTCCCTCTTTCTCCTTCCATCCTTCCCTTCCACTCTTTCATCCTTCCTTCCCTCTTTCCTCCCTCTCTCCCTCTTTCTCCTTCCTTCCTTCTTCCTTCCTTCCTTCCTTCCTTCCTTCTCTTTTATCCTTCTTTTCTCTTTCTCCATCCACCCACCCCTCTTTCCCCTTCCTACCTTTCATTCTTTCTTCTCTCTTTCCTTCCTCCTCCCCTTCCTCCCTCTTTCTCCTTCCATCCTTTCCTTCTATCCTTTCATCCTTCCTTCCTTCCCTCTTTCTTCTCTCTCTCCCTCTTTCTTCTTCTTTCCTTCCTTCCTTCCTTCCTTTTTGTCCTTCCTTCTTTCTCTCTTCCCCTTCCACCCATCCCTCTTTCTCCCTCCCTCTTTCCCCTTCTTCCCTTTCATCCTTTCTTCTCTCTTTCCTTCCTCCTCCCTTTCCTCCCTCTTTCCCCTTCCATCCTTCCCTTCCACCCTTTTTTCCTTCCCTCCCTTTTGTCTTTCCTTCTTTCTCTCTTCCCTTCCTCCTCCCTTTCTTCCCTCTTTCTCCTTCCATCCTTTTCTTCCATCCTTTCATCCTTCCTTCCGTCCCTCTTTCCTCCCTCTCTCCCTCTTTCTCCTTCCTTCTTTCCCTTTTGTTTTTTCTTCCTTCTCTCTTTCCTTTAACCTTTTCTTCCTTTCTTTTCCTTCCTTCCCTTCTTTCTCTCCTTCCTTCCTTTTGTCTTCCTTCCTTCTCTCTCCCTTTCTCCTTTCCTTTCCCCTTCTTCCCTTTCATCCTTTCTTCTCTCTTTCCTTCCTCCTTCCCTCCCTCCCTTCCAGACATCCATCCTTCCTTTTCTCCCTCCCTTTTGTCTTCTTTCTTTTTTTCCTTTCTTCCTTCCTTCCCTCCCTTTTGTCTTTCTTTCTTTCTTTCTTTCCTTCCTTCCTTCTTTCTTTTTTCTTTCTTTCTTCTTTCCTTCCTTCCTTCCTTCCTTCCTTCCTTCCTTCCTTCCTTCCTTCCTTCCTTCCCCTTCCCTTTCCTCCCTTTCCTCCTTCCATCCTTTCCTTCCCTTTCCTTCCCTCTTTCCTTCCCTCTCTCCCTCTTTTCTCCTTCCTTCTTTTCCTTTGTTTTTCTTCCTTCTCTCTATCATTTCGCCTCCCCTTCCTCCCTCCCCTCCCCTCCCCTTCCACCCTTTCATACATCCTTTCTTCCCTTTTGTCTTTCCTTTCTACCCTCTTTGCTCTCTCCTTCCCTTTCTCCCTCTTTCCCCTGACTGAGGGGGAGATGATGGGCCTGGTGGATGTGGATGTTCACCATTTCACAAATCCTGTCTCCATAATACACAACACCAACAATGTCCTGTATTTCCGAAGCTGGTGAGAGACTGTGGACCTGTGAAATGACGGAAACCCAGACATAGTGCTTGGCACAAATCCACGCTTCCTCACATTTTACAGATCCCCAGTCTCTCAAACTTCACAAATACAGTATGGACTATGCTACCTCTAGTGGTCTGGTGGTTTATTGGGTCCACGGAGCATTTGCAAGACCACTGAGGAGACGCTGGGTTGATGCTCCTCTCTAGGAGACATCTCAACTTTCGGGAACTTATAGTACCATAGCCACTATCTTGGAGAGCTTCAATGGGGTACCGTTGTTGTACATGGTTCCATCCCTGAGTTGTCCCTCCTTCTGTGGTCAGGTTTCGGCTGGGCCTTGGTCTTCACGCCCTCCTTGGCCTCGGTGTCCCGCTACTTCAAGAAGCGCCGGACGCTGGCCACCAGCATGGCCCTGACTGGTGTGGGCCTCTCCTCCTTCGCCTTCTCCCCACTCTTCCAACTCCTGGTGGACACCTACGCCTGGCGAGGGGCCCTCATGATCGTGGCCGGCATGTCCTTCAACCTGATGGTGTGCGGGGCCCTCATCCGGCCCTTGACCTTAAAGGAGGACCTCTCGTGCCCCTTGAGCGGAGATCCCGATAAGCCTTGTTGGCAGAGGTTCTCCACGCTCTTCGGCCTCCACCTCCTCTCCCATTGGCCCTTCATGCGCTATGTCTTTGCCATCACCCTCATCAACACTGGATACTTCATCCCCTACATCCACTTGGTGGCCCGGGCCAGGGAGCTGGGCTTCGATGAATACCAGGCCGCCTTCTTGATGTCCATGGCAGCCGTGGCCGACTTGTGTGGACGCCTCTTCTCCGGATGGCTGGGCAACTGCAGGGCCTTCCGGCTGATCCACATCTTGGTGACCTGGACTTCTTTGACGGGCGTCTCCTTGCTGCTGATTCCCTGGGGACGCACCTACCAGGTTCTGGTGACCATCAGCCTTGCCTATGGGTTTTTCTCCGGCGCCCTCACACCTGTGGTCTTCTCCATTATCCCGGAGATCGTGGGCATCGGGAACATCTTCAGCTCAATGGGGCTCCTGCAAATGATTGAGAGCATCGGAGGCCTGCTGGGGTCCCCCCTTTCAGGTAAGCAGGGGACCCTCTTGAACCACAGCTCTCCCCCTCAATACTGTAATTATGTGGTGACTTTTGTGGCCACATAACAGATCTTGACTTAAAGCCTGAGTTCTAGGTTTGTCTTAGGGCTCAGCTTCTAGGTATTCCTTGGTGCACAGGTTCTATGCTGCCCTGAGTCCCCCCTCAGGGGTTGAGAAGGGCGGGGTAGAAATGCGCGAAATAAAATGTGTGCTTTGGTGTCTGGGTTCTAGGTTACTCTAACCATCTCTCTTTCTTTTCCACACATCAACCAAGAGTAGAGGTGGGAATTGCAGGCTGACAACTCCAAAAAGGCAACACTTTGCCCATTCCTGTTCATAGTCTAGTCTATGATCAGTCTGTGAAAGGTCTACTAACTGTATGTTCAAGGTTTGCTTTAGAGCTTGGGTTCTAGGTTTATCTTGAACCCTGGGTTCAAGGCTTGCCATGAGTTATGAGATCTAGATTTCCCATGGGGTGTGAGTTCAAAGTTTGCTTCAATCCTGGGTGATAGATTTGTCTTGGGGATTCAGTTCTAGATTTACCTGGATCTGGGAGCATCTTGGGATCCTTTTTCCAAGGGACCTGGATTTTTGGGTCTGTCATGAAACCTAGGCTCTACATTAGCCTTTGGACTTGGTTACTAGATATGCTCGGTGCCCGGTTTCTAGATTTGCCTTGAAGTCTAGGTTCCAGATCTGCCTTTGGACCTTATAAAAATGTCCAGCATTTAAAAAAAAATAATCATTACATTTCGCCCGGCCTTAGTTTTAAATGCGTTGTGGTGTTATTGTCTAACGTTTATTGCTATTGTTTTAATGTTTATTGCTTGTTTTTTGAGTTTTGTTTATTGTTGTATTTGTTATGCTGTTGTTTTATTGATGTGTTGGGCCTCGGCCTCTTGTAAGCCGCACAGTCTTCGTTTATGTGCCACTTTGCTCCCTAAACGGGACCCAAAGTGGTTGACAACATGACGCCCTGGGGTTCTAAGTTTGTGGTGGTTCTAGGTTTCTCTAGTTACCTGGGAAGTAGGTTATCACCAGGGCATCATCATAATAATAAATCTTTGTTTATATTCCGCTTTTCTCCCTAAATGGGACCCAAAGTGGTTGACAATATGATGCTCTGAGGTTCTAAGTTTGCGGTGACATCCAGGTTCTAGGTCATTCTTACCACCTCTCTTTCCTTCCTTCCCCCAGGTTTCCTGAGGGACGTAATGGGTGGTTTCTCTAGTTACCTGGGAAGTAGGTTATCACCAGGGCATCATCATAATAATAAATCTTTGTTTATGTTCCGCTTTGCTCCATAAACGGGACCCAAAGTGGTTGACAGTATGACGCTTCGAGGTTCTAAGTTTGCAGTAACATCCAGGTTCTAGGTCATTCTTACCACCTCTCTTTCCTTCCTTCCCCCAGGTTTCCTGAGGGACGTAACAGGCGACTACACGGCTTCATTCTTGGTCGCCGGGTCGTTCATCTTGACCGGCAGCTTGGTCCTGTTCTCGGTGCCCAACTTCTTCACCTGCTTGGCTCCACTGGCGTTGCAAGAACCTGGTGCCAAAGCGGAGGCAGGTGAAGGCACTGCCTTGGCCCCGGGGGATCCTGTCCCCACGGTGCCCATCTCCCCTGAAAACTGCCACCTCTACAAAGCTATGTCCGAGAAGGAGGTTGTCTCCTGATCGTTGGCAGATAGATACCCAATGAGAAAGAAAGCACCCAAGTTCAGATATTGTCTGCGTGTTTGTTTACGTCTTTAATCAACCAAGGATCGAGAAAGATCATGTGTTGCAAATGCTGGTTTGGAACTATGTCGAGTCTGTGCCTTATCCGCTGTTCCGTCTTTCCTCTCAGCCACCCAAAATGGTTGCAGAAAGATAGAGAAAAGTGTGACCCTTCCTTCTAAAAATGATGGCACTACAGCTCCCATCATCCCTAACCAGCAGAGCCAGTGGTGGGGGATGATAGGTGCAGCAGTCCAGCGATGACCAGATCTCTGTTTACTCCCCTCGTCTTTCATAAAGTGTTTATTTCCCAAAGGACTTGGCTCCTGGTTATTTAGCAAAACAAACCACGTTTTGTTTGGGGAAGAACTGTGAAAATCCTTTTTCTAGTTGTCGCGCTTTATTACCTGTTGCCCAACCAAAGCTTGGGAAGTGTCCCCCTTTTTGGACTTCAGTTCCCAGCATCCTTTTATAAACATAAAGGCTGAAAGATCCTGGAAACAGGTATCAAAAGAGACCTTTTTCCCAAGCTCCTCTTTGACTATGAGTGTCAGAGGTATTGATTCCTCTTTTCCTGCTCAGCAATAGGGATAGGAGTCATGCCGAATGTGGACTGCAACTCCCAGCATCCAGCAATAGAGAATTCATGAATTCATTCCTGATTTGCGGGTACCATATTGGCCAAAATTGAGTTGTTTTACAGATCCATCCATACCTATTGTCAAGCCAGAGGCAGTTGAGGATGGCAAATGTTACATTTCAAGACTGCGTATCCCATAATCCCCTATATCCCATCGCCAGTGTGTGTGTTTCAATTTACCCCCATATATATGTGTTTAGGAGCCCTGCCATGAAGCCAGAAGCAACTGAAGCTGGCAAAAGTTACATTTTAGGACTGCGTATCCCATAATCCCCTATATCCCATCGCCAGTGTGTTTGTGTGTTTCAATTTACCCCCATATATATGTGTTTAGGAGCCCTGTCATGAAGCCAGAAGCAATTGAAGTTGGCAAAAGTTACATTTCAGGACTGCGTATCCCATAATCCCCTATATCCCATTGCCAGTGTGTGTGTGTTTCAATTTACCCCCATATATATGTGTTTAGGAACCCTGCCTTGAAGCCAGTTGGAATTGAAGCTGGCAAAAGTTGCATTTCAGGACTGCATATCCCATAATCCCCTATATCCCATCGCCGGTGTGTGTGTGTGTTTCAATTTACCCCCATATATATATGTTTAGGAGCCCTGCCATAAAGCCAGATGCAATTGAAGTTGGCCAAAGTAACATTTCAGGGCTGCATATCCCATAATTCCCTATATCCCATTGCCAGTGTGTGTATGTTTCAATTTACCACCATATGTGTGTGTGTGTGTGTGTTTAGGAGCCCTGCCATGAAGCCAGTTGCAATTGAAGCTGGCAAAAGTTACATTTCAGGACTGCATATCCCATAATCCCCTATACCCATCACTGGTGTGTGTGTGTGTTTCAATTTACCCCCATATATATATGTTTAGGAGCCCTGCCATGAAGCCAGATGCAATTGAGGTTGGCAAAAGTTACATTTCAGGACTGCATATCCCATAATCCCCTACATCCCATTGCCTCAGTGTGTGTGTGTGTTTTAATTTACCACCATATGTGTGTGTGTGTGTGTATGTGTATGTGTATGTATATGTATATGTATGTTTAGGAGCCCTGCCATGAAGCCAGATGCAACTGAAGCTGGCAAATGTTACATTTCAGGACTGCGTATCCCATAATCCCCTATATCCCATTGCCGGTGTGTGTGTTTTAATTTACCACCATATATATATATGTTTAGAAGCCCTGCCATGAAGCCAGATGCAACTGAAGCATATCCCATAATCCCCTATACCCATTACCGGTGTGTGTGTTTCAATTTACCGCCATACACACACACACATATATATCAGCCCTGCCATGAAACCACAACCACAAAAAAGCTAGGAAAAGTTACATTTGGAGGGATACAGTGTAGCATATATTCAGATATAGGAAACAGATGGGATGGGGTTGAATTTACTGCGGGACCATGGGCCAGGATCCCATAATTGTTATGTGTAAACATGAATTTAAAAACTATAGGCACCAAAAGTTTTGAAAAGTTGTGTTTGGAGGAGAATAGCATACCCAAAATTACAATTGACCACAATGGTTTGCGGATTCTGGGAGCTGCAATCCCTAAACATAACTTTTCAAAAGTAGGCTAGCTAAAAGGGACGGTATTACTTTTCCATTCCCTGCAAATATGGGACCAATGTTTTGATTTTTCCACACTGACTTCACCCCCTTTTCACTGTGAAATGCATGGATGGGGATGATGGGAGATGGAGTCATTTGTGAGTTTTGAGCTGCTACTCGATTTGGTCAAAATAATAATAATTTTAAAAAATTGCATTTGGCAACCATTGGTTCTTCCTTTTCAGAAGCCTCTCCGGTTTTCGTTGTTGTTGTTATTGACAACGTCTATTACCACGGTCGTGTCTTTTATTTTGTATTTATTAATAATTAACTGAGTAATTTCAGCGTTTTGTGGAATAAAAATTAGCAAGAGATTAATGAAGCCACTGCTTTGGTCAGCTTTTCTTTCCTTGGAGCCTCCTCTCAGCCTTCTCTTCTGCAGGCTAAACATGCCTAGCTCTTTAAGCCACTCCTCATAGGGCTTGTTCTCCAGACATTTGATCATTTTAATCACCCTCTTCCTCTGGACACATTCCAGCTTAAGAGTCAACATCTCCCTTCAATTGCGATGCCCAGATTTGGACACAGTGTGATTCCAGGTAAAGTGACCAAACTGCAATTTAATTCCAATGGTTTGAAATCGAAGCTGAGTTCAAAATTAAATCCCGGACTCACTTTGGGGAAAGTTTCTCTGAAAACAACCTTTGCTCCTGCAAAAACCAGAGCTTTCGTAAAATGCAGCACTGACTCAGTAAATTCCTCGATGCAATGGTTTTGCCTCTGTCAATCATTGAATGTGGTCAGCTTCGTGTTTGCGGCAACCTTTTGCAAGTTAGCGAATTGCGAGCCGAAGCATCACGGCCAAGGACTCCCACGTTCAAAAAGCTTGACCTCTCCTGACCCAAACTGACATTATTTCAATATCAATATTAAGCCAATACAGACTGTATTGTTTGATCTAGAATAGGATATAGTATGACTTGGAACTCCTGATGGTGCAGCAGGTTAAACCACTGAGCTGGTGAACTTGCTGGTCGAAAGGTTGGCGGTTCGAATCCGGGGAGCGGGGTGAGCTCCCGCTGTTAGGCCCAGCTTCTGCCAACCTAGCAATTTGAAAACATGCAAATGACTAACTGAAGGGTCGTAGGTTCAAATCCAGGGAGTGAGGTGAGCTCATGCTGTCAGCCCCAGCTTCTGCCAACCTGGCAGTTCGAAAACGCAAATGTGAGGAGATCAGTAGGTAACGGCACTCCAAAGTATAGTAATATTATATTATATTATATTATATTAATTATATTATAATGAAGGTATGGGTGGCACAGTGGGTTAAACAGCTGAGCTGCTAAACTTGTTGACAGAAGGGTCGCAGGTTTGAATCCAGGGAGTGGGGTGTGCTCCTACTGTCGGCCCCAGCTTCTGCCAACCTAGCAGTTCGAAAACATGCAAATATGAGTAGATCAATAGGTACCGCTCTGGCGAGAAGGTAACGGCACTCCAAAGAATATTATTATTATATTATATTATTATATAGTATGACTTGAAGCCACCTTGTCTCTCTCCTGAGGAATCTGTACAAGGACCAAGTAGCAACAGTCAGAACTGACCACGGAACAACAGACTGGTTCAAGATTGGGAAAGGCGTACGGCAAGGCTGCATCCTCTCACCCAACCTTTTTAACTTGTATGCAGAACACATCACATCATGCGGCGCTAGAGGAATGCAAGGCTGGGGTGAGAATGGCTGGAAGAAACATTAACAACCTCAGATATGCAGATGACACCACTCTGATGGCCGAAAGCGAGGAGGAGCTGAGGAGCCTTCTAATCAAGGTGAAAGAAGAAAGCGCAAAAGCCGGGTTGCAGCTAAAACGCCAAAAAAACCAAGATTATGGCAACAAGAATGATTGACAACTGGAAAATAGAGGGAGAAACTGTGGAGGCCGTGACAGACTTTGTATTTCTAGGTGCAAAGATTACTGCAGATGCAGACTGTGGCCAGGAAATCAGAAGACGCTTACTTCTTGGGAGGAGAGCAATGTCCAATCTCGATAAAATAGTGAAGAGTAGAGACATCACACTGGCAACAAAGATCCGCATAGTCAAAGCCATGGTATTCCCTGTAGTCACCTATGGATGTGAGAGCTGGACCTTAGGGAAGGCTGAGCGAAGGAAGATCGATGCTTTTGAACTGTGGTGTTGGAGGAAAGTTCTGAGAGTGCCTTGGACTGCGAGAAGATCCAACCTGTCCATCCTCCAGGAAATAAAGCCCGACTGCTCATTGGAGGGAAAGATACTAGAGACAAAGTTGAAGTACTTTGGCCACATCATGAGGAGACAAAGCCTAGAGAAGACAATTATGCTGGGGAAAGTGGAAGGCAAAAGGAAGAGGGGCCGACCAAGGGCAAGATGGATGGATGGCATCCTTGAAGTGACTGGACTGACCTTGAGGGAGCTGGGGGTGGTGACGGCCGACAGGGAGCTCTGGCGTGGGCTGGTCCATGAGGTCACGAAGAGTCGGAGACGACTGAACGAATGAACAACAACATGAACTTGAAACTCCCGATGGTGCAGCGGGTTAAACCACTGAGCTGGTGAACTTGCTGGCCAAAAGATTGGCGGTTGCTGGCCGAAAGACTGGGTGGCACAGTGAGTTAAATTGCTGAGCTGCTGGACTTGACTGAAGGGTTGCAGGTTCAAATCCAGGGAGTGAGGTGAGCTCCTGCTGTCAGCCCCAGCTTCTGCCAACCTAGCAGTTCGAAAACATGCAAATGTGAGTAGATCAAAAGGTAACGCTCCCACAGGAAGATAACGGTGTTCCATGCAGTCATGCTGGCCACATGACCTTGGAGATGGGTCGCAGGTTCAAATCCAGAGAGTGAGGTGAGCTCCTGCTGTCAGCCCCAGCTTCTACCAACATAGCAGTTCGAAAACATGCAAATGTGAGTAGATCAATAGGTACCGCTCCAGCAAGAAGGTAATGGCACTCCAAACTATATTATTATTATTATTATTATTATTATTATTATTATTACTATTATTATTATTATTATTACTATGGAGCTCTGGGTGGCACAGTGGGTTAAACAGCTGAGCTGCTAAACTTGTTGACCGAAGGGTTGCAGGTTCGAATCCAGGGAGTGAGGTGAGCTCCTGCTGTCAGCCCCAGCTTCTGCCAACCTAGCAGTTCGAAAACATGCAAATGTGAGTAGATCAATAGGTACCGCTCCGGCGAGAAGGTAATGGCACTCCAAAGTAGATTATTATTATTATTATTATTATTATTATTATTATTATTATTATTATGGAGCCCTGGGTGGCACAGCGGGTTACACTGCTAAGCTGCTGAACTTGTTGACCGAAGGGTCGCAGATTCGAATCCAGGGAGCGGGGTGAGCTCCTGCTGTCAGCCCCAGCTTCTACCAACGTAGCAGTTTGAAAACATGCAAATGTGAGTAGATCAATAGGTTCCGCTCCAGCGAGAAGGTAATGGCACTCCAAAGTATATTATTATTATTATTATTATTATTATTATTATTATTATTATTATTATTATTATGGAGCCCTGGGTGGCACACTGGGTTAAACTACTGAGTTGCTGAACTTGCTGACTGAAGGGTTGCAGGTTTGAATCCAGGGAGCTGGGTGAGCTCCTGCTGTCAGCCCCAGCTTCTGCCAACCTAGCAGTTCGAAAACATACAAATGTGAGTAGATCAATAAGTACCGCTCCAGCGAGAAGGTAACGGCACTCCAAAGTATATTGTTATATTATATTATATTTTAAGGGAGCTATGGGTGGCACAGTGGGTTAAACTGCACCTATGTTAAGTGAGAGTCTACTGTATATATTCTTTATATGATGTTTGCCATTTGGGTTTAAATCAGAAGTGAAAAAGACCCAAAGGTTGCTTTCTCAGTGTTGGTTTCCAGTATGAGAATCATGGGGTTTTGCACTCTGCATATGCTCTGGAGCTTTGCCACAATGACTTCTTCTAAGGTAGATTTTGGTACCTGATGTTTGGAGATATAGATCTTAGGGGTTGTTTTTTTGCACTCTGCATATGCTCTGGAGCTTTGCCACAATGACTTCTAAGGTAGGTTTGGCTACCTAACGTTTGGAGATATAGATCTTAGGGTTCCTCTTAAAAGGATGGGACCAAATGGCTAGGATTTGGGGTTTGTCTGGCTGATCTCTAGAGGGCCCTTAGAAAACTGTGAGAAAGGAAACACCAGCATAGTTTGGTGGACCTTGAAAGAAAGGACTTTGCCTCCATTTGGCTCTTTGCCAGGGGCCAAATCATCTCTCTCTTGCCCTTTGGAGCCTTGTTTTACCTGCTTTGCATTGGATTAAATGCATGGCAGAGCCCACTTTTCCCTTCTCAATAACCCAAAGCAGGCATGGGTTAGGAATTAGGAATTGTGGGAGTTGGAGTCCAAAACACCTGGAGGGAGGGCCAAAGTTGGCCCATGCCTGACCTAAATGCCTGACCTCCAACTGTGTTGGACTACAACTCCTATCATCCTGTCTCTCAATTGTCTCAACCTGGGGATTGCAACCCCCAAGGGGGTCACTGGGCCATTTTCCAGGGGTCGCGAAGCCGCCTCGACCTCATTTGAACTGGCCTGGCTAAATGCTATGGAATCCTTGGATTGTAGGAGGTGGAAGACCTTGGGAAACTACAACTCCCATTATTCCCTAGCATTGAGCGTCAACCTGCAATCATTCTACGTTGTAGATGCCCCTGAGTTCCCTTTTGTCAGGGAGCCAAAAAAACTTATCTTTAGACATGATTGCCTTAACCCAACCTAAGCTAAGGATTATGGGAGTTGTAGTCCAGCTGGAGGATGCACTAAAATCCTTGAAGCAAACAGCTGCAGAGGCCGTGCAGAAAGAATAAACCAGAGCTAATGGAAATGACTTTTTGAACTGCTATTTCCAGTATCCCCGAAGCCATTGTGGATAATGGTATTTGTAGTCCTCCAAAGTAGCTTTTCCATTCTTTGCTGGTATTCAGTTTGTTGCATATTTAGATTCTGATATATATTTTTCCAATCTTTGTAATCTGTGTCCCTATCTCCCCACAACCGATAGATGGGCAGCTTTCATGTCATCGAATCTGCTCCGGATTTTAGTCAGAACTTTAAAGATGCAATCTGATTTTGAAGTATGTGTTGCACAGCTCAAATAGTTACAGCTGCAGAAGCCGTGCAGAAAGAATAAACCAGAGCTGAGGGAAATTACTTTTCGAACCACCATTTCCAGTATCCCCGAAGTCCTTATGGATAATGGTATTTGTAGTCCTCCAAAGTAGCTTTTCAATTCTCTGCTATTATTCAGTTTGTTGCATATTTAGTTTCCGATATATATTTTTTCAATCTTTGTAATCTG